CCACTCTCCCCCATCCCCCACTCTCCCCCATCAAATGAAAAAGTTCATGTTGTGTAGGCTCTAACAGTCTTACAGTTTCAGTAAATCATAGATAGAACCCCCCAACCCCCCTATAAAAATCCTGTATCCGCCCATGTGATCTGAATTTCATAAAGAAAGCTACTGTAGCCCACAATGCATTGATTTTAAGACTGAACTTCATTTTATTTTATTTTCCTGAATCCATTTTTTCTTTTCAGACAAAATGGCGAGCGCCCCGCTTCCAACGAAGGTCAAAAAGTCATTTTTGTTTTTCCTGTTGTTTATGTACACGTTTGTGGTCAGCACCCTCATCATTAACTTCCTCATGGTGCTGACCCTACTTATTTGGCCATTTGACCGCAAACTCTTTAGGAAAATCAACTACATCTTGGGATACTCAAGCTGGTCTCGTAAGTAATGTGAACCAGTATATGTCTTAACTCATTCACCCCTACATATAAACTGGACTTTCCCAGTCTGTGATTTGGAAAGGTTCACATGTGTCTTTAGGGTTAGGGGTGAATAGTTTAATATTGAATACGCCAAGAGTGTATCATGATATATTGCAATACAGAATGAATATATTGCGATACATATCCCGATATATTATCATAGGAAGGATGTGTTCAATTTTATAAAAAGTTGTCAGAATGTTATCAAACTTAATCATATATAATATGGATTACATAGATTTAAGATTTTTTTCAAACCAAACATTGATTACAAAATTTTAATTATTAATAGCCTGCTTTTATGCTTAATATTTGCACATCTCTTAGAATTTGTACTGTAGTTTGCAAAGTTAAAACACCAAGCAGATACATAAAAAATATGCTTTTGAAAAATATTGCGATACAGTAATATTTCATCTCTGTATTGTGGTACAATATGATATACCCATGTATTGTGATACTGTATACCTGTTTTCCGATATATTGTGACAGCCTAAATATAACTGTATGTGTCGATACAATTGCTGTGATTGACACATGTACATTGACTGTGCATGTCTGTTTTTAATTAATATATGCTCAATAAAGAAATCGTAGATCAAAATGTAGTTAACAAAATTGTAACAAAAAATACCACTTTCAGATTTTCGAGCAGCAGTTTTTTACTTCAAATTGTTGATGTGGAGAGGAAACTAAATTGAAAATGTAAATGTACAAGGAAAATGGAACGCCTCTGGGATTTGCATTACAGAATCTGGTTATATAGAATGGTTTAACAATACAAATTCAAATTACATAGAAATATACTCTGTGATCACGTTTTGATGACAGTCTGGTAACTGAATGGTTTTGGATTATAAAGAATCAGTAATTTGTGATAGCTTGTTACTTACACTCTTTAACTTTTTACATAATGATCTATTTTCAGAGTTTACTTGTATAGCACAGTGGTGGTCTGGTTGTGACATCATCTTGTACATAGACCAGAAAGATCGGTTATTTGCGGGCAAGGAGCATATCCTGGTTTTGATGAATCACACCTATGAAATTGACTGGCTCATGTTATGGATTCTTTCCGAAAGATACGGTGTCTTAGGGGTATGTTATCGGGGATGTAAATTGAGAAAGCCATTGGATCAAAGCTGGAATTGACCCCTTATAATTTCCTCTTTTTTGTTTAAATTTCACAAAGGGTTAATTAGAGTATTTTTTAGATCAGTTTAAATAAAGGACTCATTTAATTTTCAGTTGTAATAGTGTACAATTGTTTCCAATTTGTCCCTTGTAATTCCAAAATTTTGAAATCTAAATAAGTAAATGCATATATATATATTTAACTGAATACTACTGACTGACTTAAGTTCTCAAAATGCAGACCTGTACATTGTATGTAGGGAGGACAGAATGATCAAGATCAAGCTTAAATAAAAGTTAAACAATCTAGTTTCATGTATTTAGAGTAATTGTAGGCTCATGATTTCTCAACCCATATTAGATTGTAGGATAGCATCAGGAACAAAAATATTTTATCATGTGTCTATTATGATAATTCTTTTTCATGATCATAATCAGCTGGCTTATGCAATTTTACAGTAAATGCCGCTTTTGAAATATTAACATCGAAATTAATTTCAAGAGTACATGAGGAATTCCTATATCTCCTAAAAATAATTATTCACTCAAAATATTTCTGCAATTATTCATTTTTCAAATAAAAATTCTTGCAAAAAAGTAATTTAAAGTGTAATAACTGAAATTATTCAATTGAAATTATTCAATTGAAATTCCTTCACATTTCTTGAGTGCTTTTTGTTTAAGAACTTTTTTCAAACATTGTTCACAGGTAAAAAGACAAAACCATTTTGCAAAAAATATCAATGTATTTCGGATTTTACTAGATAAATGTCATTACAAAAAGTATTTGTTTGGTTTCCTTTAACAGGGTGCAAAAGTCTACGGCAAAAACATGTTGCGATACATTCCCCTAATAGGTTGGGCGTGGTATTTCACAGAGTGTATTTTCTTAATGAGGAACTGGGCAAAGGACAAGAAAATCATCGCAGACACCATTAAAGAACTGTTGGACTTCCCCGACCAATATTGGTTTACAGTAAGTTTATAACAAAATTATCAACATCAACAACTACTCGACTACCTTTACCAGTGTTAACTCAAAAAAAGTTGTATGTTATTATAGATGCTGATTTTACGACCAATGATGGATCAGTCCCCTTCCAAAGTTGCTACCACAATAATATTTTGTACTTTTTCATAAAAGTACCAGTAAAGCGAAAATTTACATCAAATTTAAAGGATAAACAAAATCTGGTCATAAATTTATTGTCTATAAAACAATTAAAAGTCTACTTATTTTATTATTGTGACATTTTTTTCTGTGTTTGGATTAAGAAATAATATTAAGTAAAAAAAAAAAACGAGAGCTACACATAGATCGCCAGACAAGCTAGTTTAAATCAAAATTTCATTTACCCCAAATTCAAAAATGATTGTTGATTAAAATGGCTAGATTAATCCTTGATTTGTGTACTGAGGAAATTTGTCAGGAATTTACTCAAAGGGTATTTTAATTGAATGGCACACCCAAAACAAGAAAATAATCATGAATCGTTAAACTAAGATGCCGAAATTTACCAACACTATCATACAGGAGACAGCGATGAGATATGATAGAACTTAATTAACTATTGCATTGTAAATACGACTGCGATGCTACTGGTTTTTAGAAGTTAAGGAAAAATGTGTCAAATTGATCCAGGAACAGAAGAAATTCTTTGAAAATATACCCCAACCAGTGTATAAATATGAACTACAGATGTGTGAAATACCTTACTGTAAAATGTAGTTTGTGCTAGAAATTTAAACTGTTTCAAAAATGAACTGGATAAACATTGGAAAAAACATTGATTTATTATATAACCTCAAAGCTATCTTATGAACTGTAGTATCCTTACAATCAATTTATTTTTAGGTCACCTGAGCGGGGTCCCAAAGGGAAAATTAACCAATATTTCAAAAATCTTCTTCTCCAGACTCAGATGTACTACAGTCATTCTCACTGCATTGAAAGAAAGAAAATCAGGGGCTTTATTTAAATTGTAAATTTCAGGACCCCTGAGCTATTCGTTCTCCCTTGGGGAGGGGGTAAAGTTAACTATAGTTTATATAGGGAAATAACACTTTTGGGTATATTTTATCCATTTTCAGCAGAAAAATACTCAAACTTAGTTAGAATCATCTTTGGTGAATTAGGGTATTACATTGTAAAATTGGGATTCCTGACCCATCCCCAGGGGCTAGGGCGGGGCCCCAAAGGGAACATTTACCAATATTTTCAAATTCTTATCCTTTGATAACGTGACAAGTACTGTATTTCATTTTAGTTTACATGGTGATTTCCACATCACATCTAAACAATAAAATTAAGCTACCAGTACCTATGATATAACTCAGGTGACCGCTAAGGCCCTTGGGCCTTTTGTTATATTTATAACAATTATTATGTTATGAGTCTAATGAGAGGATACAAAATCATGTACCAGAAATTTATCATTAAATATCATTAGATAAATATCATTTGATAAATATTATTTCATAATCAAAATGAGAGAAATAATGTTTGATTGTATCTAATTGAAAAGCTGACAAATCTTTAAGGTTCCTTGTCTGTTTTCACCCCAAAAGACACATTTGAACTCTTCCAATTCAAAGGTTGGAATAGTTCATTATGAAATATCAGGTGTGAATGAGTTGAAGGAAGTAAGACGTATGAAGCCGTAGTAACCTGTGTACTCCAGACCACAAGATCCACCCCAAGGCTTTAATTACTGATAGCCATATATATGTATATCTAATACACTTACGGACGATTCAGTCCTGAATGTGCCACTCTGACCCATTAGGTACTGGTAGACATGTACAAGGAAGGTCTTAGCTTCAGGGCATACATTTTACCTGTAATTCTTTTTTAATCTAATTTATAACATTTAGCTACCTGCATATTGGTTGTCTACACATCAACTATGTATAGAATCTGGAAGATATTGAAATATTGATAAAAGTGAAAGACTGCATATATACAAATTCAGAGATAATGGAGGAAGAGAATGAATTCCATTTTATTAGCTCACCTGGCACGAAGTGCCAAGTGAGCTTATGCCGTGGTGCGGCGGCCGGCCGGCCGGCTTCCGGCATCAATATTTTACTTTAAACGACTTCTTCTTAATAACCAAAAGGCCTAGGGTAATGATATTTGGCCAGTAGCATGCTGGGATGAAGGGCTACCAAGTTTGTTCAAATAAATGACCTTCACCCATTTTCAAGGTCACATGGGTCAATTGTCTTAAACAATCTTTAAACAACTTCTTCTGAATAACCTAGAGACCCAGGCTGATGATATTTAGGCAGTAACATGCTAGGATAAAGGGCTACTAAGTTTTGTTAAAATGAATGACCTTAACCTATATTCAAGGTCACAGGGGTCAAATATGTTTAAAACCTTTAAACAACATCTTCTTAATAACCAAGAGGCCTAGGATTATGCTATTTGACCAGTAGCATGCTGTAATAGCGGGCTACCAAGTTTGTTCAAATAAATGACCTTCACCCATTTTCAAGGTCACATGGGTCAATTGGCTTAAACAATCTTTAAACAACTTCTTCTGAATAACCAAGAAGCCTAGGATTATGATATTTGGCCAGTAACATGCTGGGATGAAGGGCTACCAAGTCGTTCAAACAAATGACCTTTACTTATATTCAAGTTCCCAGGGGTCAAATATGTTTAAAACCTTTAAACAACTTCTTCTTAATAATCAAGAGGCCTAGGATGATGCCATTTGACCAGTAGCATGCTGCAATAGAGGATTACAGAGTTTGTTCAAATGAATGACCTTGACTTATATTCAAGGTCACAAGGGTTAAATATGTTTGAAACCTTTAAACAACTTCTTCTGAATAACCAAGAAGCCTAGTATAATGATATTTGGTCAGTAACATGCTGGGATAAAGGACTACCAAGTTTGTTCAAACAAGTGATGTTCATCTATTTTCAAAGTCACAGGGTTCAAATATGTTAAACATATTTTTTAAACTTCTTCTCAATAACCAAAAGGCCTTTGCCAGTATGTAACATGCTGGGATGAAGGGCTACCAAGGTTGATCAAACAAATGACCTTTATCTATTTTTAAGGCCACATGGGTCAAATATGTTTAAAACCTTACACAACTTCTCCTGAATACCCAAGAGGCCTAGAACAATGATATTTGACCAGTATCATGCTCAGATGAAGGGCTACCAGTTTTATTCAAATGAATTACCTTCATCTATTATCAAGGTCACAGGGGTCAAATATATTTAAAAACTTTAAACAACTTCTTCTCAATAACCAAAAGGCCTTGGATGATGATATTTGGCCATTAACATGCTGGGATGAAGGGCTACCAAGTTTGTTCAAATGAATGACCTTTGCTCATATTCAAGGTCACAGGGATCAAATATGTTTAAATCTTTAAATGACTTGTTCTGAATATTCAAAAGGTCCAGGGTAATGATATTTAGCCAGAAATATGCCGGGACGGAAGGCTATAAACTTTCAAGGTTGCAGGCGTCATATGTTTAAATCATTTAATAGATTCAAATGGATCGAACACAGATATTTTGCCTGTAGCTGTATATTAGTCCAATTTTAAGATTACAAGTGTGAGATTAATACCAGGTGAGTGATTCAGGCCCATTGGGCCTCTTGTCTTAATTGATATGCCCTAAATACAATGAAATCGGGGATAAAAATATTAAAGGGTTTATTATCATAGGAATCCCTCCATGGCAAAGCTAGTTGAACTTTTATTATAGTACAAAATGTTAGGGAATTAAATGTATTGGGTAAATATCTTAAATAAGCGGATAAGCTAAAAATTGTTTCAACTTTCAGCATTCAGAAACATTTATGAGGTTTTACTAATTATTTGTATCAATAATGGTATGTATTCATGATGTACCGCTATATGCACTTGTCAACAGCCTGATATATCCCATACTTGTATTTTGTAATCATATTTCATTTGTACTGATTAGTTTACTGCTCAAAGTTATAAAGAGACTGAATCTGAAGCTGTAATGTTTGGAGATATGTGAATCTAATTCAGTATTGGGTTGGTATTTTCCCATGTGCTTTTAATGTTTGACTAATCAATCCTCTGACAGCAAAATTGAAAAAAAAAACCATTTTCCATAATGGTTCTGATAAATTTAATTGTAGAAAAATTTGAAAAAAAAATCTTTGATTTGGAAATTTTTCAATCATTATTTTATAACTATAGGGCCGGAATGAACGAAACAAATTTATAACAAATTTTGTTTCACAAGTTGTCAATATGATTTGATTGTTCTAAATTTTCTTAGTTTGTCATTAACTCTTAGCAATTTGTATTCACTAGAGTCCATTTCCCAAGGGTCCTGGTAACTACTTGAGGGTTTGAATATCAATATGTAGTGGAAATTTAAAGCATTGTTAGATTAACAGTTAGCTTACAAATATTCTCATATTTTGAAGCTGAAACTGTTTATATTTTTCAGTTACTGCTGTTCCCAGAAGGTACAAGATTTACACCAGAGAAACATGAAGCTAGTTTAAAATTTGCCAGGGAGAAAGGGTTACCTGAATTCAAGCACCATTTACTGCCCCGCACAAAAGGGTTCAGCTACACCATCCAGGCCCTCCAGGGCAAGGGGGCAGGTAGGTCACAGTCAAAGATCATTTACTCATTGTAACAGGGCAAGGGGGCCGGTAGGTCACAGTCAAAGATCATTTAATCATTGTAACAGGGCAAGGGGGCCGGTAGGTCACAGTCAAAGATCATTTACTCATTGTAACAGGGCAAGAGGGCAGGTAGGTCACAGTCATAGGTCAGCATAACAGAGTAAGGGGACAGGTAGGTCACAGTAAAAAGTCAGTGTAACAGGGTAAGGGAACAGGTAGGTCACAGTTATAGGTCATTGTAACAGAGTAAGGGGACAGGTAGGTCACAATTATAGGTCAGTGTAACAGGGCAAGGGGACAGGTATGTTACAAGTATAGGTCAGTGTAACAGATTGAGGGGACAGATATGTTTCAAGTATAGGTCAGTGTAACAGAGTAAGGGGACAGGTAGGTCACAATTATAGGTCAGTTTAACAGGGCAAGGGGACAGGTAGGTCACAGTAAAAAGTCAGTGTAACAGGGTAAGGGGACAGGTAGGTCACAGTCATAGGTCAGTGTAACAGGGTAAGGGGACAGGTATGTTACAAGTATAGATCAGTGTAACAGATTGAGGGGACAGGTTGGTCACTATCAGGTGGTCAGTGTAACAGGGCAAGGGGACAGGTAGGTACAAGTATAGGTCATTGTAACAGGGCAAGGGGACAGGTATGTTACAAGTATAGGTCAGTGTAACAGATTAAGGGGACAGGTAGGTTACAAGTATAGGTCAGTGTAACAGGGTGAGGGGACAGGTAGGTTACTATCAGGTGGTCAGTGTAACAGAGTAAGGGGACAGGTAGGTCACAAGTATAGGTCAGTGTAACAGGGTAAGGGGACAGGTAGGTTACAAGTATAGGCCAGTGTAACAGGGTGAGGGGACAGGTAGGTCACACTTATAGGTCATTGTAACAGAGTAAGGGGACAGGTAGGTCACAATTATAGGTCATTGTAACAGAGTAAGGGGACAGGTAGGTCACAATTATAGGTCAGTGTAACAGGGCAAGGGGACAGGTATGTTACAAGTATAGGTCAGTGTAACAGATTGAGGGGACAGGTTGGTCACTATCAGGTGGTCAGTGTAACAGGGTGAGGGGACAGGTAGGTCACAGTAAAAAGTCAGTGTAACAGGGTAAGGGGACAGGTAAGGTCACAGTCATAGGTCAGTGTAACAGGGTGAGGGGACAGGAAGGGCACAGTTATAGGTCAGTGTAACAGGGCAAGGGGACAGGTAGGTTACAAGTATAGGTCATTGTAACAGGGTGAGGGGACAGGTAGGTTACAAGTATAGGTCAGTGTAACAGGGCAAGGGGACAGGTATGTTACAAGTATAGGTCAGTGTAACAGATTGAGGGGACAGGTTGGTCACTATCAGGTGGTCAGTGTAACAGGGTGAGGGGACAGGTAGGGCCCAGTTATAGGTCAGTGTAACAGGGCAAGGGGACAGGTATGTTACATATATAGGTCATTGTAACAGGGTGAGGGGACAGATTTGTTACAAGTATAGATCAGTGTAACAGGGCAAGGGGACAGGTAGGTCACAATCATAGGTTATTGTAACAGGGCAAGGGGACAGGTAGGTCACAGGAAAAAGTCAGTGTAACAGGGTAAGGGGACAGGTAAGGTCACAGTCATAGGTCAGTGTAACAGGGTAAGGGGACAGGAAGGGCACAGTTATAGGTCAGTGTCACAGGGCAAGGGGACAGGTAGGTTACAAGTATAGGTCAGTGTAACAGGGCAAGGGGACAGGTAGGTCACAATTATAGGTCAGTGTAACAGGGCAAGGGGACAGGTATGTTACATGTATAGGTCATTGTAACAGGGTGAGGGGACAGATTTGTTACAAGTATAGATCAGTGTGACAGAGTAAGGGGACAAGTAGGTTACAAGTATAGGTCAGTGTAACAGGGCAAGGGGACAGGTAGGTTACAAGTATAGGTTAGTGTAACAGATTGAGGGGACAAGTTGGTCACAATCAGGTGGTCAGCGACACACATAAAAAACTAGCTACTTAATGAGATTAACAAAATTAAATTAAACAATTATTGGCAAAAACATTTATCTGGAAGATTCCAGGTCCTTTTGAACAATTATTTTTCCATTAGTATTGCACAAAATAAAATTCCATTTATGTACCATGTCTCGTTTTCAGTTGGTGCTCTCTACGACATTGCTATGGGTTTCAAGGGTAACACTGTGAAACCAACATTAATGAATGCCTTCAGAGGCAACGCCATTACAGCCCACCTCAGAATGAAGTAAGTATAATTTACAGTAGAAGTGCAGCATTAGTTGAATATAGGCTGATTCATATGTTATTGCAGTTTACCCAGCTGTAGAGATGGGCACCAGCATCCTTGGAAATTAAAATGTTATTAATTGGTATCCTTCTAGGCAGAAAGATTGTTGTAGTTTTGAGTTCTTCTTTGCATGACTATTATAGAAACCAATGAGAAATACTTTTTGAAGTTCAGACTTTGAAAACACGCCGAGATAAAATTGCTTTATCTTCATAAAGATTTCTGATTTTAGAAACAATAACAGCCGCAAAATGACTTTTGAGTTGAATTATGTGTTTTTGATATCTGAGTTCATATTAAAAAGGTTTTACTGTATTATTTTAATATGTTCTCAGACTGTTAATAGATTTTGAAATGTTTATATAATTTTACTCCATATTATTTCAGGCGTTATGAATTAGAAGACTTGCCAAAAGAAGAGGAAGAATTATCTCAGTGGCTCAGGGATTTGTTTAAAGAGAAAGTGAGTATGTCAATGGCTCAGGGATTTGTTTAAAGATAAGGTGAGTATCTCAATCGCTCAGGAATTTGTTTAAAGATAAGGTGAGTATCTCAATTGCTCAGGAATTTGTTTAAAGATAAGGTGAGTATGTCAATAGCTCAGGAATTTGTTTAAAGATAAGGTGAGTATCTCAATCGCTCAGGAATTTGTTTAAAGATAAGGTGAGTATGTCAATAGCTCAGGAATTTGTTTAAAGATAAGGTGAGTATCTCAATTGCTCAGGAATTTGTTTAAAGAAAAGGTGAGTATCACAATGGCTCAGGGATTTGTTTAAAGAGAAGGGGAGTATGTCAATGGCTCAGGGATTTGTTTAAAGAGAAGGGGAGTATGTCAATGGCTCAGGGATTTGTTTAAAGAGAAAGTGAGCATGTCAATGGCTCAGGGATTTGTTTAAAGAGAAAGTGAGGATGTCAATGGCTCAGGGATTTGTTTAAAGAGAAGGTAATTATCTCAATGGCTCAGGGATTTGTTTAAAGAGAAGGTGAGTATCTTAATGGCTCAGGAATTTGTTTAAAGAGAAAGTGAGTATGTCAATGGCTCAGGGATTTGTTTAAAGATAAGGTGAGTATCTCAATTGCTCAGGAATTTGTTTAAAGAAAAGGTGAGTATCACAATGGCTCAGGGATTTGTTTAAAGAGAAGGTAATTATCTCAATGGCTCAGGGATTTGTTTAAAGAGAAAGTGAGGATGTCAATGGCTCAGGGATTTGTTTAAAGAGAAAGTGAGCATGTCAATGGCTCAGGGATTTGTTTAAAGAGAAAGTGAGCATGTCAATGGCTCAGGGATTTGTTTAAAGAGAAGGTGAGTATAACAATGGCTCATTGATTTGTTTAAAGAGAAGGTGAGTATCTCAATGGCTCAGGGATTTGTTTAAAGAGAAGGTGAGTATAACAATGGCTCAGGGATTTATTTGAAGAGAAGGTGATTATCTCAATGGCTCAGGGATTTGTTTAAAGAGAAGGTGAGTATAACAATGGCTCAGGGATTTGTTCCAAGAGAAGGTAAGTATGTCAATGGCTCAGGGATTTGTTTAAAGAGAAGGTGAGTATCTTAATGGCTCAGGAATTTGTTTAAAGAGAAAGTGAGTATGTCAATGGCTCAGGGATTTGTTTAAAGATAAGGTGAGTATCTCAATTGCTCAGGAATTTGTTTAAAGATAAGGTGAGTATCACAATGGCTCAGAGATTTGTTTAAAGATAAGGTGAGTATGTCAATAGCTCAGGAATTTGTTTAAAGATAAGGTGAGTATCTCAATTGCTCAGGAATTTGTTTAAAGAAAAGGTGAGTATCACAATGGCTCAGGGATTTGTTTAAAGAGAAGGTGAGTATAACAATGGCTCATTGATTTGTTTAAAGAGAAGGTGAGTATCTCAATGGCTCAGGGATTTGTTTAAAGAGAAGGTGAGTATGTCAATGGCTCAGGGATTTGTTTAAAGATAAGGTCAGTATCTCAATTGCTCAGGAATTTGTTTAAAGAAAAGGTGAGTATCACAATGGCTCAGGGTTTTGTTTAAAGATAAGTTGAGTACATTGATCGTAATGAGAGTCGCAAGAAGTCACTAGATGTGATTCTGCAGGATTTCCATACTGGAAATAGGTAGAGAGGTACTGAAGGTGTGGCCGGAAGAGAGTACATTGTTTAAGATAAATTGAGGAGCAGAGTGTTACTAAGACAAACAATAGAGACAGACAAGAGAGAGCTAGGAAGAGATATACAGTATACCAGAACATTTTTGTTGTCCTTCAATATTTCCTTATATGGTAAAGGTTGAATTCCACAGTACCAGGGAAAATATTTTTCTGAGTTTTCTCACAAAAAATATCATCATTACGAGGGTCAGGACCAAACACTTGCTTTGAGTCCGGAGAGATATTTGTATGTTCCAAGCCCTGCAGGACTTTATTTTTACCCCAACGTCATCAGATGGTGGGCTGTTTGAATTACCCTTAACCTGCGGTCCATCCTTAACAATTCTTGTAACCACTTAGTTCTCAAGAAGTATGAAACAAAAATCTTTTTTTTTTAAATGTCACCTGAAGGTTTCCCTTGGTCCTTAGTTGTGCATGTTGTATTATGAGACTGATCAGAAATCAAGTTGGCAACCAGGCAGCCATCTTGAATTTTAACAGTTGAGGTTTGTTATCGCTATTTCTATTGATGTACATGATAGCTCTCTCTTATTTCATTCTCATGTGATATTTATTTTAAGGCTGATCAAAATATATATATACTACGGTAGTAAAAAGGTCAAACACCAAGGAAGTGTTTTATACAGCAGTAGGAAGTTTTGCCCAAATGTTACAACAAGATGCATTGGTTTTATTCTCGCCACAACAAAGTTATAGAAGTGAGACTAAGGTGTTGCTTTTCCGGCAATGTCAACATTAAGTTTTTACGTTTAACTTAGTTTCACTGAAAGTATAAGTGCTTAACCAACCAAATTTGGACCATAGATGCATCTTAGGTAGTACATCTCAACCCATGCATCATCTAATGTTGGATGCAGCCTACCTTTCATGGTCCATTGACTTTGTCAGCATCTCCATCAACATTAAGTTTTTGCGTTTAAGTTAGTTTCTCTGATATGTGCATTGATGGTCAAAGCGGGGCACAGGCAAGACATATTAATCTGAATGGTTGTTTATAAGGCTCAATCCAATAGAAAAGGATAGAAAAGATCAAACTTGCGTAGGATAAGATCTTATTATGGTATGCATCATGATCTTTCTCGGATCTCTTGTTGACTGTTCTTCTGTTTTGCAGGATGATCTTGTCGACGAGTATATGAAGACAGGGAAGTTTGACCTACCAGAGTACCGTCCTCCACAACGACTCCATGACCTTTTAAATTGGATATTTTGGTTCCTTGTGACAGACATTCCACTGTTTTATTACCTAGGGAGTGTTTTAGTAGCAGGGACCATTACACAACAGCTTATTGTTTTGGGCGTAGTGGTATTCAGTAAGTATTGTTTCTACTGTCCGTCCATTATCTTACGTGATTCAGCGACTAAAAATAAATCTCAGACAATTCTTTGAAAATTGTCCCTCATATCCAATTTACATTAAAAAATTGTTCATTATATCCAATTTATATTAAAAAGTCGTACGTCAGTGGCATAGCAAATATTTTTTTGGAGTGTATGCTTATAGGGAGTCGAGTGTCAGAGGTGTGTAACGCCGGAGGAGGGGGAGTTCCCCCTCCCATAGATGAAAAAAAATAAATCTACTAGGCCCTAGAAGCAATCTCTCGTATTCTAGGAAATCCTTTTAGTCTGATTATTAACAAGTTAACCCAGACTTTTTAAAGGAATAATACTAAATTTTGTACTTCACTGAGTAGTTTTTGATTTAGGATTCTACGTTAAAATTCAAGATTTTTCCCTTTGTATAGACATAACAACACTATTTTATAAGACTAAAATTTTCAAGAAGATTTCTTTTATTCTTCCCTTTTTTTATGATTGATACGGACAGTAAATATAAATCATACAAAAAGATTATAATAAAAATGTATGATTGAACAAAAAGCTTGAAAATTTTAGTGTATGCTTCACCACTGTTACATCATATACAACTGGTATCATAAAAAATCTTTCATGATTTGTTCAATAATATCAAAGTTTTACTTAACATGATTTGTATTACATGGTTATCTCCCTTATGTTAACCTCACCTTGTCAAAGTACGTTTCTAAAAATAATATCTTGTAAATTTATATATTCTGTTTTGACTAAAACTGCTACGCAAGTTGAGAAGCCTGTTATGGTTATATCTGTCTAGATACAGGGAGGTGTCTGAATAGGCGTACCAAAGTTCACAACAATCAGGATATAAGATCACATGGTGGCAATGTACCGTCTACCTAGAAAATTTTGCCCAGTCAAATATTTGCCTTTCACTGTTAAAATCTATGTTTGCCCAGTTTTAATTTCGCCTTGATGTGTTATTATTCCTGATTTGTTGCATACTTATAAAATAAAAGTCATCCTCATTGCAGAGGTTGACAAAATTAAACTGCCACGAAAATGTCCCTATAAACACAGTAGCTAGTTACGTAACCTCATCAATCACTTCCTTGTACCACCAAGGTTTAAAATAACGTTGGTACTACAATAAGTTCCGTTGAGGCTATCATCATCCATTACACAGATCAGGATTTTGCAGTGGTTTCCCGTGATGATTCCACGATCAAGGTGAAGTCTATCGAGTCAATCAGAACATCAAAGTGCCATTAATTACAAATAACACATATAGAAAATATAGTGCATTTTTCCGCTCCTGTTATGCTAGTATACTTGCACTGTTTCATATGTAATTTTTGCAGGATATTTACCCCCATGATTTTATGGTAACTTGGTAATAAAGAATATTGATACATGTACACAAACATTTTAACTGACTTAAGTTTAATTATTCCTGTTGAAAGTGACATTTAGCTGCTACAAAGTAGTTTGTAGATGTAAAATCATGGAAGAAAATGTCTACAAAAATCACGTTAACAAGTACATTTCCAGTAGAATATCCAGCTAGAACAATCATGCCCAACAAAAAGGTTCTTATGTTTGATGATTATCATTTTTTCTCCAGGATTTAATAATAAAAAATATATATACAATGTATTTGCATTATTTTCTCCTCTTTTTTTTTACTCGCTTTTAGGTCTTAAAATAGCAGTTAATGACTGTTACTACCAATACACTTAGTAATAAGGAATTTTGGATATTGTTGCAAAAAACATATTTTCTCACTTTTTTTAATGGTGGAGTATGAAACTAAATGTTGAAGTGACATGCTCACAAAAAAACATGAACAATAAGATTTCTGCAAATAAGGGTCTTTCTGATATGGGAACTGTATATTTCATTATTGGTGAGCCCTGTATCACTTTCCTCTATACTTTATGGATAGTTATACATGGAAGTTAGCCCTACTGATAATAACATGCAGTTGAAATGAATGTACAGATACCAACGTTGTGCAGATCTTTTGTCTGTACCACCTTGAGTTATTAACAGGTAAGGATTATTCCATTATAAATTATAAAGAGAAGTGGGAGGCACATATGTTCACATAATATGGGTGATGAGGTTTAAAATAAATCTGCCTACATTTCCTTGTAGTTTTAATATGATGGACAGTGGGACTTTCAAAAAAGTGCCTCCCACCCCACATATGGTTAATATTGGAACAGTCCTGAGTAGAAAAAAAGGAAACTTTCCTAGAACTACGTCTCCCTGGCCAAAACGTGCCAAAGAGCTTGAAACCATTATACAGTTTTCACTGTGTCTATAAGTACTCAACTGAACCTCTATAAATACTCAACTGAATCTCTCCCCTTTTAGTGGTGACAATTTCTTTGTGGATGATCAGCTTGACCGAGATACAAAAAGGATCATCTTATGGCAGAGCAGCAGGGGCCAATGGAGTGAAGAAATCAGAATGACCATTGCTAGTAATTCTCCTGTAGTTCTGCATTTTTTTTTTTGCTTGTACCTGTATTTTTAGCCTATGCCATACCGCAGCGTCTGTTGTCCGTCATCAGCCCGGACGTCTGTCATCTTTTCCTTTAAAACGCTTTAGTCCTGAACGGCTTAGTAGATTTTGACTCAATTTGGTCTGGAGCATCCTTAGGCCAACGGGACTCAATTTGTATAAACCATGGGTGTGGCGCCCCTGGGGGGAAAAGAGGCGGGGCCCGATAGGCGAAATAGAGGTTAAAATCTTAAAAATACTTCTTCTACCATAGGGCTTAAGGGATTTTATCCTAATTTAGTCTGGAGCATCCTTGGGCCAAGAGAACTCAATTTTGTATAATAGTTGGTGAGGCTCCCCCAGGGCAGATGGGTGGGCCCCAATAGGGAAAATCGAGGTTAAACCTTTAAAATCCTTCTTCTAATGTAGGGACTAAGGGATTTTATCCTAAATTAGTCTAGTGCATCCTTGTGCCAAGGGGACTCAATTTGTATAAATGATGGGTGTGGCTCCCCTGGGGGCAGAAGAGCGGGGCCAATGTGGGAAATAGAGGTAAATCTTTAAAATCCTTCTTCTACCATAGGTATTACAGGTTTTTTACTGATTTAATCTGGAGCATCCTTAGGACAAGGGGACTCAATTTTGTATAAGCAGTGGGTGTGGTCCCCCAGGGGCAGAAAGGGAAAGGACCCATTAGGGGAAATAGATTTAAACCTTTAAAATCCTTCTTCTTCCATAGGGATTTTATCCTAATTTAGTCTGGAGCACCCTTGGGCTAAGGGGACTCAATTTTGTATAAATCGTGGGTGTGCCCCCCCTGGGGGCAGAGGGGCAAAATATGGGAAAATCGAGGTTAAACCTTTAAAATCCTTCTTCTAATGTAGGGACCAAGGGATTTTATCCTAAATTAGTCTAGAGCATCCTTGTGTCAAGGGGACTCAATTTGTATAAATGGTGGGTGTGGCTCCCCTGGGGGCAGAGGAGCGGGGCCCAATATGGGAAATAGAAGTAAAATCTTTAAAATCCCTCTTCTACCATAGGGATTACAGGATTTTAACTGATTTAATCTGGAGCATCCTTAGGACAAGGGGACTCAATTTTGTAAAGGAGTGGGTGTGGTCCCCCAGGGGGCAAAAGGCGGGGCCAAATATGTGAAATAGAGGTTAAACCTTTATAATCCATCTTTTACCATAGGAATTAAGGGATTTCTTCCCCATTTGGTCTAGATAATCCTCAGGGAAAAAGGGACTCAATTTTGTATAAACAGTGAGTGTGGACCCTAGGGGCAGAAGGGTGGGGCCCAATAGTTAAAACATAGCAAATTCTTCAAAATTCTTCTTCTTCTGTAGAAATGACAGGATTTTGTCCATATTTGGTCTAAAGCATCATTAGGTGAAGGCAACCTGATTTTGTATTAACGGTGGGTGTGTCACCCTTGGGGGTAGATGGGTGTGGCCAAATAGGGGAAATAGAGGTAAACCTTAAAAATCCTTCTTCTACCAAGGGATTAAGGGATTTTATTCTTATTAAGTCTGGAGCATCTTGTTTCAAGGGGACTCAGTTTTGTATAAAAGTAATGTATGGCCTCCCTGGGGGCAGAGGGGTGGGGCCAAATGAGGGAAATAGAGGTAAACCTTAAAAATCCTTCTTCTACCATAGGGATAAAGGGATTTCATTCCAATTTGGTCTGGAGCATCCTTGGTCCAAGGGCACTTAATTTTGTATAAATGGTGGGTGTGGCTCGCTTGGGGGCAGAGGGGTGGGGCCCAATATGGGAAATCAAGGTAAAACCTTTACAATCTTTCTTCTACCATAGGGATTAGGGGTTTATTCTTATTTAGTCTGGAGCATTCATGGTCCAAGGGGACTCAGTTTTGTATCCAAGGTACAAAAATGTAGGTGTCCCACCCCCCTGGGGGCAGAGGGGTGGGGCCAAATAGGGGAAATAGAGGTAAAACTTTAAAATCCTTCTTCTACCGTAGGGATTAAGGGATTTTATCCTAATGTGGTCTGGAACAAACTTAAGCCAAAGGAATCAATTTTGTATAAACGGTGAGTGTGGCCCCAGGGCAGAGGGGTGGGGCCCAATAGGGGAAATAAAGGTAAAACCTTTGAAATCCTTCTCCTACAAGATTTTATCCCCATGTTGTCTCCATCAAGTTCTCTAGTAGTGCCTGTTACTATTAGGATGTGTTCATTAAAACAAGATGATCACCAGGCCGCCATCTTGGATTTTGACATTTGAAGTTTGTTCTCGTATATCTCCAGAAATACTGGATGGATCTTTCTGAAATTTCGTATGTACATGTACATATAGTACCTAACAAGTAGTGCTATATCTTTACTTCATATCAAGTACTTTAAACATATATCCAGGTGAGCGATACAGGCCCTCTTGGCCTCTTGTTATTTGTATACCCTGAAAAATGTCTTCTCATTATTGTTTTGAATGCACCATATATTCACATTTTTTTATTTGTGTACACTGAACAAATGCAATATACTATTGATTGCACCGTACGTTTACCTCATCATATCTCATATACTTTGTAAAAGTGGAAATGTTTGCATTAGTATTTATAGATTGTATAGATTATAGATAAATAAAATGTATTCAAACTATTGCCAACGCGGGGATTTCACACCGTGATCAATTTCCACTTTTATGGTATTTTGTTATTAGCAAGGACATTTTTTTTTGTGAAACTCTCAGCTATATTCCTTGCTCCAGCAACAGAAATACTGCCTTGCCTACAGATCACATTGTCGCAGTGCATCATACGTTGTTGTAGTATCAAATCAGTAGTAATTTAGAAAGACTCAAAAGAGTTCATATGTATCTTTGACTCATAGTCATCAAATATAGCCAACACACACTTTTGTAGACATGTGACCTTGACCCATACCTGACTATACAGTCACCACACACCATACTAGACATGTGATCTTGACCTATACCTGACAATATAGTACCCACACACTATTGTAGACATGTGACCTTGACCAATACCTGGCAATACAGTCACCACACACTATTGTAGGCATGTGATCTTGACCTATACCTGACAATATAGTAACCACACACTATTGTAGACATGTGACCTTGACCAATACCTGGTAATACAGTCACCACACACTATTGTAGAAATGTGACCTTGACTTATAACTGACAGTTTAGCCACCACACACCATGAAGAGATGTGACCTTAACCTATACCTGACAATATAGTCACCAAACTATGGTAGAGATGTGACCTTGACCAATACCTGGCAATACAGTCACCACACACAATTGTAGACATGTGACCTTGACCCATGCCTGACAATACAGTTACCACACTATTGTAGACATGCGACCTTGACCCATACCTGATAAAATAGCCACCACACACTATTATAGAAATGTGACCTTGACCTATACCTGACAATACAGTCACCACACACAATTGTAGACATGTGACCTATACCTGACAATACAGTTACACACTATTGTAGACATGTGACCTTGACCCATACCTGATTATATAGTCACCACACACAATTGTAGACATGTGACCTTGACCCATACTAGACAATACAATCAACACACACTATTCAGGACATGTGACCTTGACCTATACCTGACGATACAATCACCACACACTATTGTAGACATGTGACTTTGACCCATACCTGACAATATAGTCACCACACACTATTGTAGACATTTGACCTTGACCTATACCTGACAATACAGCCCCACACACTATTGTAGACATGTGACCTTGACCTATACCTGACAATACAATCACCACACACAATTGTAAACATGTGACCTTTACCCATACCTGACAATACAATCACCACACACAATTGTAGACATGTGACCTTTACCTATACTAGACAATACAATCACCACACACAATTGTAAACATGTGACCTTTACCCATACCTGACAATACAATCACCACACACAATTGTAGACATGTGACCTTTACCTATACC